ATGGACAGAGGCAGGAAGTAAGGAGACTGATGCTAAACTGGAGCCTAAGACAGTGATGAAGATGGAAACAGACAGATGCCCACGCTGGCATTGGACTCCTTCTTGCTCCCCTGCCATGGGTCCCCTCTTTTTCCCTGGTTGACCCCCCTTGCACCCCTCTTCTTCCCATCCTTTTTTTTTTTTTTTTGAGGCAGAGTTTCACTCTTGTTGCCCAAGCTGGAGTACAGTGGCACGTTCTTGGCTCACTGCAAACTCTGCCTCCTGGGTTCAAGTGATTCTCCTGCCTCAGCCTCCTGAGTAGCTGGCACTACAGGCACACACCACCATGCCCAGCTAATTTTTGTATTTTTAGTAGAGACGGGGTTTCACCATGTTGGCCAGGCTGGTCTCAAACTCCTGACCTCAGGTGATCCACCTGCCTTGGCCTCCCAAAGTGCTGGGATTACAGGTGTGAGCCACTGTGCTGGGCCCCCATCATCTATCATTTTTTAAATGTCTTCTCCCACCATAAAATTAATTTCTTTTATTTTTTTTGTCAGATAGAAATGGGAAAGTCCCACACTCTACTGTTCTATTAGCTTAACATCCCAAGCTTCCTTTCCTTTTTTTGGTCTTTATGAATATATTTATATGGACAGAATTAAGATAAACAAAATTGATTTCCCCATTCTCTCACTTCTCCATATTCTCAGACCCCACAGAGTTTAAACTTGGGATTCCCCCGACCCCCTCACCCCAAACACTTGTATATTGTTTGTTTGAGGTTCGTGCCGCAGTAACTGACACAGTATTTAATTGCACATACAGATGTTTGCTGGGTATATTCACTGTAAATTTTATTTAATCTGGTTTTTGTTTGGGGATTATTTGGAGGGAGGTTGGTTTTGTTTTTAAATATAAAAAAAAAAAAAATCTGTCACTAGACATCAGTCAGTTTTTCTGTTGCCGCCCTGATATGGATAAAGGGTTGGAGGCCCTGGGTAGATGTAGCCCTACAGCTGTTGGAGGTGTTTGTTGTGGGTTGGGATGGCTTTCCCTAGCATATGCTCACTATTTTTAACACCATTCCCTCTGTCTCATCCTCTTCCCTGTACATGGTTCTGATAGATGGCTAGATCGCTAATGAGACCATGGTTTTAGGCTCTGCCATTTCTGCCACTATGGCAGAAATGATATGAGCATATCATTTCTCAACGCTGGATTTGTGTCCTACCAGTAACATAAGAGACTTGGACTGACTAGGTGACCTCTAAGTTTCCTTCCGGACTATTAATTCTGTGGTACTCATTTAGGGCCCTTGTAGCTGAGCTGGGGAAGGAGGGGTGAGTGAGATCCAGAACTGGGTTGAGATGCTGACGTCATACCTGCCCATTTATTCTTTGTTGTTGTTGCTGTTGAGATAGTGTCTCACTCTGTCACCCAGGCTGGAGTGCAGTGGTAGATCCCAACTCACTGCAAGCACCTCCCACGCCTGGCTATTTATTTTTATTTATTTTTTATTTATTTGGTAGAGACAGGGTTTCACCATGTTGCCTGGGTTGGTCTTAAATTCCTGACCTCGTGATTCACCTGCCTCGGCCTCCCAAAGTGCTGGGATTACAGGCATAAGCCACCACTCCCAGCCCAGCTCATCTTCTGAAAACCCTTCAGGGATGGAGAACATAAACCTTTCTTTAATCCTAAAGCAGCAGGATTGGGTTTTACTTGTCAGGGACAAAAGCAGATGTTTCTTAGAATAAAAGCTAAAGCAACTGAACTCACAGTGCCAAGATGCTATATTATCCGAACATGCTCAGCAGACCCTGTCCTATGTGTATGAAGAAAAGTGAAGAGCAGAAGTCATCCTGCCTGCAAGATGGAGCTTTTCCTCTCTCTACAGCATCTAAAAGCAAGCCCTGTTGTTCTGCAGCCTGTCAGAGCAAGGCCATTAAAGAAGCTGCAGAGTCAGAACCATCTTGTACCCCCTTTTCAAACTCACCCCTTAAAGAAAAAAAAAAGTAGTGGGTAGAAATGACAAAGCACGTTGCCCTGGAAATCCTTTGGGTTCAAGTAGCGGTATCCCTAACATGGTCGTACAGGAGCTTGTCTGATCCAGTCTCCAATACAGTCCTTAATTTCTTACAGACAGAAAGGATAAGGTAGCACTGTGTTGCCACCTGTAAATTGCTCTCCCCTGAGATAGGAGTATCTCCTCTTTCATTCATGTCACAGCCCAAAGAGTAGGAGAAGGGTGCACCCCTGTGAGATCAGAATGGCATCTGTCTCTTTGATCCATCAGTTATATACCGAGGCATCAAAGGTGGGAGATAGAATTGGAATCGAAAGGGTTTAGGAAGTGTGAGGCTTGGACATCCTACCTTTAAGAGTTTGCAGTTCTCATGAGGAAGGGGACATTACCTAGAAATGTTAAGTTTCTTACGTGGCAGCTATAGCCTTCCGTCCAATGTAAACTGTCCCATTTTAATAGCCCTGGTAATTCCCTTCACCCTGAGGACAAAATTTTAGAGGAAGGAGGTGGGGAGATGTCTCTGGGGGCTGCTGGAGGGAATAAAGCAATACTACATATTCCTTTTTTTTTTTTTTGAGACCAAGTCTTGCTCTGTCGCCCAGGCCGGAGTGCAGTGGAGAGATCTTGGCTCACTGCAACCTTTGCCTCCTGGGTTTAAGCAATTGTCCTGCCTCAGCTTCCCAAGTAGCTGGGATTACAGGTGCCTACCACCATGCCAAGCTAATTATTGTACTTTTAGTAGAGATGGGGTTTCACCATGATGGCCAGGTTGGTCTTGAACTCCTGATCTGCCCACCTCAGCCTTGCAAAGTGCTGGGATTACAGGCATGAGCCACCACACCCAACCATATTCTTCACTTGCTTACAGGATAGCAAAGTACTCCTCAAATCACCGACAGATAAAAAGCAATCTAGTATAGCCAAGTCAATTCTAAGCAAAAAGAACAAAGCTGGAGGCATCACACTACCTGACTTCAAACTATACTACAAGGCCACAGTAATCAAAACAGCATGGTACTGGTAACAAAACAGATATATAGACCAATGGAACAGAACTGAGGCCTCGGAGGTAATGCCACACACTTAAAACCATCTGATTTTTGACAAACCTGACAAAAGCAATGGGGAAAGGATTCCCTGTTTAATAAATGCTGTTGGGAAAACTGGCTAGCAATGTGCAGAAAGCAGAAACTGGACCCCTTCCTGACACCTTACACTAAAATTAACTCCAGATGGATTAAAGACTTAAACATAAGACCTAACACCATAAAAACTCTAGAAGAAAACCTAGACAAAACCATTCAGGACATAGGCATAGGCAAGGACTTCATGACTAAAACATCAAAAGCATTGGCAACAAAAGTCGAAATAGACAAACGGGATCTAATTAAACTCCACAGCTTCTGCACAGCAAAAGAAACAATCATTAGAGTGAACCAGCAATCAACAGAATGGGAAAAAAATCTTTGCAATCTACCCATCTGACAAAGGGCTAATATCCAGAATCTACAAAGAATTAAAACAGATTTACAAGAGAAAAACAAGCCCATTCAAAAGTGGGCAAAGCATATGAACGGACACTTTACAAAAGAAGACATAACATGAGGCCAACAAACATGAAAAAATGCTCATCATCACTGATCATTAGAGAAATGCAAATCAAAACTACATTGAGATACCATCTCATGCCAGTTAGAATGGCGATCATTAAAAAATCTGGAGACAACAGATGCTGGAGAGGATGTGGAGAAATAGGGACACTTTCACACTGTTGGTGGGAGTGTAAATTAGTTCTACCATTTTGGAAGACAGTGTAGTGATTCCTCAAGGACCTGGAAATAGAAATTCCATTTGACCCAGCAATCCCATTACTGGGTATATATCCAAAGGATTATAAATCATTCTACTATAAGGACACATGCACACGAATGTTCATGGCAGCACTGTTTACAATAGCAAAGACTTGGAACCAACCCAAATGCCCATCGATGGTAGACTGGACAGGGAAAATGTGGCACATATACACCATGGAATACTATGCAGCCATAAACGATGAGTTTGTGTCCTTTGTAGGGACATGGGTGAACCTGGAAACCATCTTTCTCAGCAAACTGACACAAGAACAGAAAATCAAACACTGCACGTTCTCACTCATAGGTGGGTGTTGAACAATGAGAACACATGGACACAGGGAGGGGAGCATCAGACACTGGGGTCTGTCGGGGGGAACTAGGGGAGGGACAGTGGAGAGTTGGGAAGGGATAACATGGGGAGAAACATCAGATATATGTGTTGGGGAGGAAGGCAGCAAAGCATATTGCCATGTATGTACCTATGCAACAATCTTGCATGTTTTTCACATGTACCCCAAAACCTGAAATGCAATAAAATATATTTTTTTTAGAAAAAAGCAATCTAGCTGGGCTTGGTGGCTCACACCTGTAATCCCAGCACTTTGGGATGCTGAGGCGGGTGGATCACCTGAGGTCAGGGGTTCAAGACCAGCCTGGCCAACATGGTAAAACCCTGTCTCTACTAAAAATACAAGAATTAGCCAGGCATGGTGGTGGGCACCTGTAATCTCAGGTACTTGGAAGGCTGAGGCAGGAGAATCACTTGAACCCAGGAGGTGAAGTTTGTAGTGAACCTGCCAGATCACTTCACTGCACTCCCCTGGGCGACAAGAGTGAGACTCCATCTTTAAAAAAAAAAAAAAAAGCAATCTAGTGTGGCTGATAGGAGAGCTCTGAGAGTTCACATTAGTCTTTTTTTTTTTTAACCCTGTCTCAAAAAATAAATGAAATATAAAAATAAACTCCCCTTAAGTGAGCATGAACAGAAACTGTCCCTTCTTGATTTCAGCTGTTATTAACCTGTTGGCCAAAGATAAAGAATCAAGGAACAGCAGCTCTGGGGGATGGGAGGAGTTAGGGTCCAACCCTGCCCCAGACCTCTCAGTGTCCAATTTCTCTGTGTCAGCTGTGTTGCTCAGCTGTCTACTTTCCTCCAGCCCTGTCATTTCAGCCCTGACACCAACGCAAGAGGCTAGGAGGTCTACAAATAGCGTCTGGGTAGCTGGTGTGAACACAGAGGGTACTGGGGGGGCTTAGCCCCCAAGGAAGAGGACTGGTTTTTCCCCAGCACCACCATCAAGGCCTCGGGGTTCCCAACTTCCTCTACATTCTGTGGACTGACTGATTTAGGGAATCCCAAACGTAAGTTACCTCTTCATCCTCTTTCCATTTCCACAGCTGCTCACCCCAGCTGCCCTGGCCAGTAATCTATTTAACTTCTTCATTTCTCTCCTTGTTGTGAATCATCTGGGTTTTAGGAGTCAAATTATTATTCTACTCTAGGATGAGTTAGGATTGGAGGGTGGGGTAAGGGTGGGGGTGGGGTGAAGGGAATGGAGTAGTAAGGGAAGGAAAGGCTCATATTACCCTGAAAACTTAAAATAGCTGAGCCCTGAAGCAGGCTGGGACAGCACTAGGCACAGTGCCCCCAGGGCTCAAGAAAGAAGTAGGGGAGGACAAATCTCCAGTCCATCCTTCCTTGTGCACACACAAGGACACCCATTAAACCTCTTGAAGAGAGGAGATCTGGGAAGGTATGCATCACATACCTGTTGCCCACAGGTTCCCAGGAGAAACAAAGTACCTATAAGAAAATAACGTAAATCATTCAGCAGTGAACACTGTGTAAGGGCTGTAAACTCTGGGGTCACCCCTCAGGATGGAAGGATAAGTATCAGTTTGAGGAACTAACTGGGGACTTCCGTTTGTTGGGCTTTTTTGTTTTTCTTTTTTTTTTTTTTTTTTTTTGAGACAGAGTCTTGCTCTAGAACCACGCTGGAGTGCAGTGGCGCAATCCTGGCTCACTGCAACCTTCGCCTCCCAGGTTCAAGCAATTCTCCTTCCTCAACCTCTCAAGTAGCTGGGATTACAGGTGTCTGCCACCATACTCGGCTCATTTTTTAATATTTAGTAGAGATGGGGTTTCACCATGTTGGCCAGGCTGGTCTCAAACTCCTGACCCCTAGTGATCCACCCATCTCAGCCTCCCAAAGTGCTGGGATTACAGGTGTGAGCCACCACGCCCAGCCATGTTGGGCTTTTTTCTAGACCTCCATGAAATCTATCTGTTAATAAACACTGCCAAAGGATTTGTATTTGGCCTGGAGCAGTGCCTCATGCCTGGAATCTCAACCCTTTGGGAGGCTGAAATGGAAGAACTGCTTGAGCTAGTTCAGGACCAGCCTAGGCAACAAAGCAAGGCCCTGCTTCTACAAAAAATAAAAAAGTAGCCAGGTAGTATACACTTTGTAGTCCCAGCTACTCAGGAAGCTGAGGTAGGGGGATCGCTTCAGCCTGGGAGATCAAGACTGCAGTGAGCCGTGATCACACCACTGCACTCCAACCTGGGTGACAGAGTGAGACCTCATTGCAAAAAAAAAAAAAAAAAAAAATATATATATATATGAAACCACATTTCTCCAAAAGCCTCCCCTTTGAGGACCACCCTACTGCAAGGGACAGAAATAAGAGAGAGAAGAATGAAAGGGATTAGATTTCATAGTGGGGTCCAACCTCTTGCAGGATGACAGAAAAGGAGGTGCTGGAGTCCCCTAAACCCTCCTTCCCCGCAGAGACTCGGCAAAGTGGGGTGAGTCTGGGCCTCTGACCACTGGGTGTGGGGAGCGGGAAGCCATTATAGCTGAAGAGTGCTTAAATTGATCACATTTGTGTATGACTCATTTTTTGCTGGCCACCTGCAGCCCCCCTAATCCTAGGGTACATTCCTTACCCCTAACTAGAAAACTGTCTAGTTTGCTCTAGTGCCCCTGTACTCTAGAGAGGGTGACAAGTCCTTTTAACACTGGGTTTCCTTCACTCCCTCCCTCAGCTACAGCGGCTGAAGCAATTACTCAGGAAGGGGTCTACAGGGACAAAAGACATGGAACTTCCCCCAGAGCCCCAGGCCAATGGGGAGGCAGTGGGAGCTGGGGGTGGGCCCATCTACTACATCTATGAGGAAGAGGAGGAGGAAGAAGAGGAGGAGGAGGAGCCACCCCCAGAACCTCCTAAGCTTGTCAACGATAAGCCCCACAAATTCAAAGATCACTTCTTCAAGAAGCCAAAGTTCTGTGATGTCTGTGCCCGGATGATTGTTCGTGAGTCATGAAGGGAAGTGAAGAGAGTATGATGTTGAAGGCAGGGGTTGGGGGAGAGGGTATAGGAGAGGAGTATTTGTAGCAGACGGGCTGCGGCTAGAGTTGCTGTAAGGCAGTGCTATTAGAGATTGTGAGAGTAGGGTCCTAGACAGAAAAGGGAACCTAAGTGTAGCAGCAGTGGTACAAAGGGAAAGGGCAACCTGGAACCTTATCTGAATTTTCTCCCCCTCTCCCAAGTCAATAACAAGTTTGGGCTTCGCTGTAAGAACTGCAAAACCAACATCCATGAACACTGTCAGTCCTATGTGGAAATGCAGAGATGCTTTGGCAAGATCGTGAGTAGGCTCCGGGGAACAAGGTGTAGAAAGGTGGGGCCGTATCACCAGCTACCCCTTGCTGGTCCCTCCTCCATCCCATTCATTTCTCTTTTTCTTTCTTAGCCCATCTCTTTTTCTGAGAAAGGATGACCACTTATGAGAGAGATGGGCTTCTAGCCTACCTTGCTACCTCTAATGATTCCTCCTATTCCACCCTACAGCCACCTGGTTTCCGTCGGGCCTATAGTTCCCCACTCTACAGCAATCAGCAGTATGCTTGTGTCAAAGATCTCTGTAAGTGCCCTTTATGGAACATGAGGGAATGGGCAAGCCTACAGATGGTTTCATGCCATCTCTTTTTTTTTTTTTTTAAGTGAACAGCTCCTTGCTATAAGTGTCATGCCATCTCTAGCTTTGGAAGCCAAATTCTGAAACAGAAACTTTCTATTTCCCATCATTCTCCCTCAACCTAATATTTTTATATTTATTTGGATCCAGAGGCCATATCCCCATTTTACAGCAGAGGGAGATAGGATTTAGTTGCAGCTACATCAGTTAGCAAGCGGTAGAGCCAAGACTGGAATCTCCAGTTGCTAGCTTCAAAATCTGTGCTCTTCATGTGCAAAATCATTTCTAAGCAAGAACAAGGATTCTAGACTGTCCTCATCCTTACTACAGAGTCATACCAGACTCGGGGCAAAGCCCAAAGGCTGTGGACACCCTGGGCAGGTTCATAATTTGGCAACCTTAAAAGCATATTCATTGACAATTTGCTCAACATTTATTTGGAGGAGAGGCTTAACTCTGAGGAGCATGGGTGAAAAAGAAGAACCTGTTGGTGGTAGCTCCTCAGCTTAGACATGCCATTCAGCAGTGCAAAAGTCAGCAGTTAAGAGGCCATTCTGCTTAGAAGGAGAATAGTGATTCTGAGCATGTCTCAACCCCAAGCAACCAAAGTTCTCTTTCCAACGTCACATAATGCTCTGCCTGGAAGGAGTTCTGATAAATACTTTTCTCCCTCACATTATCAGTGATGTTTTTAGAGCCCTTTATAGATTGGTGACCTAGGTATTGCCCAGCAGACCCTTCCCTAATCTTCCCCTGTGGCACCCCCACTCCCACACACATCTGCTCAATCCCACCCCTTCCTTAAGAGATCTTTCTCTGTCTCCCCAATAATGTCTTCTTTCTCCTCCCATTCCATTAGCTGCTGCCAGTCGCAATGACCCTGTGTTTGAAACCCTGCGCACTGGGGTGATCATGGCAAACAAGGAACGGAAGAAAGGACAGGCAGATAAGAAAAATGTGAGCACTGTACCTCCCCATTGAGGTCCCTCCCAGAGAATCCACAGAGCAGGTCATTTTTCCATTTGGAAACCTGACAGAAGCAATGGATCATCTTCCCCTAAAATTGCACATAACCCGGCCGGGCACAGTGGCTCATGCCTATAATCCCAGCACTTTGGGAGGCCAAGGCAGGCAGATCACAAGGTCAGGAGATTGAGATCATCCTGGCCAATGTGATGAAACCCTGTCTCTATTAAAAATACAAAAGTGTAGCCAAACATGGTGGTGTGTGCCTGTAATCCCAGCTACTCGGGAGGCTGAGGCAGGAGAATCACATGAACCTGGGAGGCGGAGGTTGCAGTGAGCTGAGATCATGTCACTGCACTCCAGCCTGGGTAACAGAGTGAGACTCTATCTCAAAACAAAAAGCCAGGTGCAGTGGCTCACGCCTGTAATCCCAGCACTTTGGGAAGCCGAGGCGGGCAGATTACCTGAGGTCAGGAGTTTGAAACCAGTCTGGCCAACATGGTGAAACCTTGTCTCTACTAAAAATACAAAAATTAGGCATGGTGTCACCCGCCTGTAATCCCCGCTACTTGGGAGGCTGAGGCAGGAGAATTGCTTGAGCCCAGGAGATGGAGGTTGCAGTGAGCCAAGATCATGCCACCACCCTAGCCTGGTCAACAGAGCAAGACTCTGTCTCAAAAAAAAAAAATAATAATAATAGCATATAACCCAACAGACACACTTTAGCATGCATTTTAGAGGGTTTCAGGACCTGCTGCAGCTCACTCCAGGCCTCTGGTTAAGAACTCCAGCCATAGATTATATTTTCTCAGCTCCCTTCTGAAATTGTCAGATTAGCCACCACAACCATCTGAGGGCTAGGCCCAAGGTCCTTGGTATTGCTGGGTAATGGAGGCAAGAGCTGTGCTTTTGGATGTAGGGAAGAGAACTTTTCATACCAAGTAACTGGAGAATTCTAGAGCCATGCAAGGGTACATGAAGATCATCATCTGGTTTGACCCATTCATTTTACAGATGATAAAACTGAGGCACAAATCTACTGGCCAAGAGAAGCCTCATTTCCTTTTGCAATAGGGTTACTAGGTTGGTAATGCCATAGACTTGCGTTCAGTTCAGCAAGGAATTTGTTAGAATATTCTTCTATCTTTCTGGACAACCAGGGTGGACTGGTATGGATGACGGTTACAGCTAGATGGACTCCTAAAATTGAGTGGCATTACCCAGAGTCCAGGTTCTTTCAGGAGTATACAGCTAGAGGGAGATTTCTGATGCCTTATAACATGATTTAGATATAATCAAGATACAAATTGTATATTCATCCTGGGTGCGGTGGCTCACGCCTGTAATCCCAGCACTTTGGGAGGCCGAGGTGGGCGGATTATCTGAGGTTAATCATGAAACCCCATCTTGGCCGGGCGCAGTGGCTCACACCTGTGATCCCAGCACTTTGGGAGGCCAAGGCGGGCGCATCACGAGGTCAAGAGATTGAGACCATCCTGGCCATGGTGAAACCCCGTCTCTACTAAAAATACAAAAATTAGCTGGGCGTGGTGGCACGCGCCTGTGGTCCCAGCTACTCGGGAGGCTGAGGCGGAAGAATCACTTGAACCCAGGTGGAGGTTGCAGTGAACCGAGATTGCGCCACTGCACTCCAGCCTGGCGCAAGAGTAAGACTCTGTCTCAAAAAAAAAGAAAAGAAAAGAAACCCCATCTTACTAAAAATACAAAAAAACTTAGCTGGGCTTGGTGGCACTTGCCTGTAATCCCAGCTATTTGAAGGCTGAGGCAGGAGATTCACTTGAACCTGGGAGGCGGAGGTTGCAGTGAGCTGAGATCCAGCCTTGGAGACAAAGCGAGACCCTGTCTCCAAAAAAAAAAAAAAAAAGGAAGAAAGAAAGAAGAGAAAAATGTACATATTTGTTCTTTATCAAAAAAACTGCAAAAAACAGAACTAGAAATCTAGGCTCAGAGTTGTTGATATGGAGGTTAGGCACAGGATAAGGAATTTCTATGGAGTGAATTATGACTTATAAGGCACTAGCAGTGTGATTTGGCTGCCTCCAGAAGGGCTAACATATTCTTGGGTTATATATATATATATATATATTTTTTTTTTTTGTGACAGAGTCTCGCTCTCTCGCCCAGGCTGGAGTGCCGTGGCACAATGCAATTTTAGCATTCAATTTTAGAGGGTTTAGGGACCTGCTGCCGCTCCCCGTGTGCCTCTGGTTAAGAACTCCAGCCATAGATTGTTTTCTCAGCTCACTACAACCTCTGCCTCCTGGGTTCTCCTGCCTCAACCTCCTGAGTAGCTGGGATTACAGGTGCATGCTATCACACCCAGATAATTTTTTGTATTTTTAGTAGAGACGGGGTTTCACCATATTAGCCAGATGGTCTTGATCTCCTGACCTCGTGATCCACCCACCTCCGCCTCCCAAAGAGCTGGGATTACAGGTGTGAGCCACCACGCCCCGCCCCTGGGTTATATTCTAAGGGAATTATTATAAAAATTGTGCTATTATTTTTTTGAAGATGGAGTCTTGCTCTTGTTGCCCAGGCTGGAGTGCAATGGTATGGATCCAACTCACTGCAACCTCCCCCTCCTGGGTTCAAGCAAATCTCCTGCCTCAGCCTCCCGAGTACCTGGGATTACAGGCATGCACCGCCCGGCTAATTTTGTATTTTTAGTAGAAATGAGGTTTCTCCATGTTGGTCAGACTGTTCTTGAACTCCTAACCTCAGGTGATCCACCCCTGCCTTGGCCTCCCAAAGTGCTGGGGTTACAGGCGTGAGCCACCGCATCTGGCCATGCTGCTCATCTTTACTTACACACTGGAGTATTTTTAAAGGTTGACAGCATAGTCAAGGACCTGGAGTCTGGTAGTGAATTCCCTGTCATTTAGCTACATTCAAGCAGAATGTGGGTGACCCACCTGCCAGGATGTTTTAGAGGAAGGCAGGTGGCTAGACTAGCTATTTCCTCCAAGGCCTCTTCCAACCCTGAGATCCCATTATTCTATAGTTATCTGACCTGATTAGAGAGCGCTAGTGCATGGATTCCCAAGACAGTGTCTCCCTAACTCTGGTGCCCCCTCCAGCCTCTAGCAGCCATGATGGAGGAGGAGCCAGAGTCTGCCAGACCAGAGGAAGGCAAACCCCAGGATGGTGAGTGTCACCCACCTCCATCCAGAGATGGAGTAGGATCAGAGGCTCAGCTGTCGAACAGAGGGTGGAGGAGCAAAGGGCAGGCCAGCTTTGGATAGATGAGGCCCTTCCACAGAAGGGTAAAAGAGTAAGAACTGCCCTCCAGGAGACAGACAATTTGTTGGTGTTTCCTATCCCAGGAAACCCTGAAGGGGATAAGAAGGCTGAAAAGAAGACACCTGATGACAAAGTGAGAATCCTTCCTCCCTACAAGGACCCTGTCCTCTCCTCAACCCAGGTCTGACACCACCACTCATGGTCCAGCAGAAGCTCACTCTTTAACTCCTAGACTTCCCATCACCCTTGACCCACTCGCTCTATCACCTTGCACACCCACCAACAACCAAAAAACTCCTCTCAGTTCAGGGAACTAGAAGAGAGTTGGAGTGCAGAGTGTGTGGTGAATGCCCCTGCCTTGGAATCCTGCCCCTCAGTGTGGGGTAGAGGAGCCCAAGACTCATCATTCCCTTTCACCCCCAGCACAAGCATCCTGGCTTCCAGCAGTCTCATTACTTTGTGGCTCTCTATCGATTCAAAGCCCTGGAAAAGGACGATCTGGATTTCCCGTGAGAGGCCTTGGGGCAGGGGGCTGGTACTGTGGAGTGAAAGGGAAAGAGCTGGATTCCCCCAAGGAAAAGGGAGAGGGTGACTCAGGGCTTGGAGACTTGATCCAGGGTACAGGAGGGGACCTGCTATGTGAGTGAGGCCCTTCCCTTCCCCTCCCAGGCCGGGAGAGAAGATCACAGTCATTGATGACTCCAATGAAGAATGGTGGCGGGTGAGAGAAATGGCTAGGGCTAGGGTGGAGTGTGGGTTGAGTCCAGAACCCAAGATTGAGAGAGGACTCTCCCGACTATCTTCGCTAGGGGAAAATCGGGGAGAAGGTCGGATTTTTCCCTCCAAACTTCATCATTCGGGTTCGGGCTGGAGAACGTGTGCACCGCGTGACGAGATCCTTCGTGGGGAACCGAGAGATAGGGCAGATCACTCTTAAGAAGGACCAGGTAGGCTGTTGCCCCAGGTTAATGCCCCAGGCTAATCCAAGGCCTGAATGCCCCCTAGCCCACCACACTACTTGGAGAGCTTAACCATTAATGAGACTAGGGTAAGCCCCTGTAACCCCGGGCTCCCCTGCTGTCCTTTCCTACCGTTTCCTTTGATTCTTCTCCTACTTCTGATCCTTTAATCCTCTAGATAGTGGTACAGAAAGGAGACGAGGCTGGCGGCTATGTCAAGGTCTACACCGGCCGCAAGGTGGGGCTGTTTCCTACCGACTTTCTGGAGGAGATTTAGGCTTGCGGGCGCCCGCAGGCGGGAGACACCCACACCCATTCTGGGCGGGCCCAGTGGAATTTGGGGAGGGGGCGAAAGCAACAGGACTGCTGGGTAGATAGGAAGGCCTGCCTGAGCATGACAGGGCTTCTGGGAAGGGACTGGTTCTCGCCCCCTTCCCCAGCCTGGGGCCTCGGACACCTGCTGCCCAGAGCAGCCCGCACCTGAAACCTTTCGGGCCCCGCTTGCAAGAGCTGGAAGACAACGCATATCCACCAGGAGGAGCGAGGGACTTGGGGAGGAGGAGGGCAGGGGCGGGGGTGCGTGAACTGTCGAATGTTGCAAATTTATTAAAGTTTTGACAAAACGTAGAAAAGTTGTTCTTTAACTGGGGTTGAGAAGGCCTGCAGAGGGGTGGAGAATACCCCTCTGGATCATCCCTAACCCGAGATCCATCTGGGCTGAGGTTGACGGGAGGTGGGAAGACAGATGCAGCTGCCAGGCGAGGCCTCTGTTGTCAGTGAAGAAAGGGGAGCGCGGGACCCCCGCGCCCCAGAGGCTGGGAGCAGGATCTTGTAGTAGGGTAAGTCCCCCTTGTTCTTGGCGTTTTCGCCACGGGCAACCCCTTGCATTTCGGAATCTGGCTTGGAGCCCGAGCTAGGCCGCCAGGGGGCGATACAAGATCTCGGTTGGAGAGCGAGGGATGGGGAGGGGTGGAGGGTGGGTAAGGGGAGAGAACTGGAGACACCAAGCCCGAGACCCTGGGCCTGGGAGGGGGTGGGGTGCGTGCTGTCTCCATGGTAACACTTCCTCAAGTCCTCGGGGAACCGAGCTAGCGAGGCCAGGGGCCTAACCCTTCCCGTGCGGCCCCTGCCCTAACCCTTTCCGACAGGTACTGAGTGAGGACGCAGGGCAGACAGCTTCCTGGCTCTCACGAAGACACCCCTGCGGAGCGCCGTATGCAAATGTTATTATTTGCATATGCAAATATGCAAATATGCCGGCCCTGGTCAGGGCGGCAGGTGGCGAGGAGCAGGAAGGTGTGGGGAAGGGAGCAGAAGGAGAAGAGGAGTTTGGGGACCTGGGAGCGGACCCAGTGAGAGGCAGGCTGGGGTGATCACTGGAGTGGGACAGGCGGGGGGGGGGGGGGGGAAGGAGGGCGGGGCGGGAGGTTCTTGAGCTCGATGGAGGGTGGGGGAGGGTCGGCTTGGCCAGCCAGGAACTCCTCTTCTCGTCTCCCCGTTGTCTGCCAGGACTGAGGTTGGCACCGCCTAGCAAGGTTGGCAGCGGGAGCCCGGGCACCATCTGCTGCTGGTGGGGGGAGGGCAGAGGCTCAGCTGGGCTGGAGAAGAGGAGGGCCTGGGACCGGTGCGCCCCCCCTTCTAGAAGGCTGAGGTGTGATGGGGGTAGGGAAGCACACTAGAAGACTCTGCAGAACCAGGTTCAGTTTTCTGCTCCCTTTGCCCTTGACGGTCCCGGATGCCTGAGGGGTGGAGGTGGTGTCATTAAAGAAGACCCCCCTTTAATCGCAATTGAGCTGGAACAGTAGATCACAGGCACACACACGCACACCAGCCACACACAAATCAAGCCTTCTGCACTCATCCTTCCTTGAAATCCACCTACCATGAATGTATGAGGGGAGGGTCCGAGAGGGTTCGGGTCGTCTCTATTCATCAAGGTCTGAGGTTCTCAAAACCAGAGCTCCCCCCACCCATGCTAAAGTAAAACCAATTTACTGGCTCATTGGGCGGCAATGCTGGTGTGCGGATGCCGAGAAGCAGGGAGAGCGGCTGTTCTCCCCCTACACTGGGGGGCGGCCCCCTCCCTAGCCTCACTGAGCCGGCAGCTGTCCCTAATTAGAGCGGCGGTTTAATTGGATTTATCAGCAGTTAATAGGAAATTAAGCAAAGGGCCCGAGAGAAGGGGGGCGGGAGGAGCGGGGAAACAAGCTGTGCTGAGCTCGAAGGAGGGATGCTGGGGTGCCAGGGGTGGGGACAAGTGGTCCATGGTCACACCCTCCCCTCTCAGTACTAATCCTGACTGTTAGCCTTGGCCCGTGGGTGGGCAGGAAAGCAGGTCCCCAGAAAGGGCTGTGGGAGTGACAGTGACCCTGTGTGAGCGCCCAACGCCCTCCATCCCCTTAAGCGGCGCCTGGGTGATGGATGATACTGCCGCACTCTGCAAAGGTCATAAGTCTGGGCCAAGGAGCAGACTGAATTGAAAATAGATCTGAGGAAGGCCAGTACTGGGGTGCAAGACACAACCCGCACCCCAACCTCCTTCACTGCCCACTCCACTCAAAACGCGCGCACACACACACACGCACACAGCGCTCCTTGAAGTCGGAATACGGGGGCAGCACGAGGGTAGGGTGGGGAGAAGGCAGGATACAGAGTGACCCTCTCTATAACCCCCACCAGCAGGCGTGTTGGGGATCCTAAGAATCTCCTGGTGCAGCTCCAACATTCGCTTTTTGCCCCCCCGCTTCCACAAACTGCCCGATTGGGGTCATTGGGGTTCATCGGGTCTGCTGCTCAGGGCCGGCCCAACATCAGCACCACCCGCCTTTAGGGGCCAGTCAAGGAAGCTTGCAGGCAGCTAAGCCTGGACGCATGGGCTTCCTAGTCACAGCCCCAGGCGCCTCCTGTCACCAAGACCTCATTATACTGCTAGGCTAACAAGGCCTGCTTCGGAGACCCTGAAGACCTCCCTGCCACATTTCACCCCGCAGAGCACAGATGGTAACTCTTGCATATGCTAAGGTGTGCCAGCCTGAGTGGGTGTGGGTGGTCTCTCCGTGCCGCTGGCAATTATGGGCACCTGTATCCCCAGAGTGTGGTCTGTGTGTGTCCACTTGTTTCTGGGTGTGTGTGGTGTGTCTACGTGAGCCCCAGGTGTGTCCAAATCTGTGCCGGGTGTGTGTCTGTTCCCCTGAGTCTATGTCTGTCAGGTTTGTCCACTTCCCGCTCCCCGGCTCCCATCTGGGCAATTTTGCCCGGTGCCTCCACGCGGGGGCGTTTCCGTGCATCTCCGCCTACAGGTTTCTATGTGTGAAAATCAGGAAGAGCCAGCGGGGAGTCTGTGTTGCTCTCGCGTCTCCGCCTGCAGGTATATGTGTCTCGGTGACAGTGCGTGGGCGTGTGCCTGGGTGTGAGCCGCGCGGCGGCGTGTATCCGAATGACAGTGTGACGCACGTGTGCGCGCGTGTGGGTGCACGCGCACGCTGGGATGAGTCTTCCGCCCCCCACTCCTTCCTTTCCCCATTCCTATTCCTCTCTTCTCTCCCGGTCGGCTCGGCTTCGCCGTCCGCATCATCTCCATCCATTATTGAAGAAACAGCCGCGTCCGCTCCAATCACATCAACACCCCCGCCCCCTCCCCGTTCCGCTCGCCCCTCAGCCCCTCTGGGTGCTGAGGAGAGGGAAAGCCAAGACGCGGTGGGGGCGCCGGGTGGGAATGGGCTTATGACCCTGTGCCTCAAGCCGGGCCAGGCGCCGGGATTCTGGGGTTCCCGGAGGAGAGCGCTTTGCATAAACAGATGGCGGGCTGTCTTTGTCTTGCTCGCTTGCTCACCGGCTCCGCTTCTGTCTGGCTGATGCAATCATGATCATCTCGGAGCCTCGGAACCCGGCGCCCTTAATAACGGCAGAGGGGGTCAGGGGCCCCAGGGCTCCCAAGCAGATGCTGGGCTCTGTGTCTTTTCTCCCGGGCGCCCCTCCACATCCCACAGCAGCAACGGGAAGGCCAACGCCACTCGGAGGTGACGGCAGGTGGAGGTGACCAGGAGGAGAACCCCGGGCAGTGCCCTGAGGTGTCCCCGGGCTGCCTCGTTGGACTGGTGCAGTCCCCAGAGGCAGCAACCCAGAGAATAGGAATATAGCTGGGGAATGGGGTAGGGGAGAGACAGAGACAGCGAGTCATTAGTAAAGAGAGACACAGTGAGATGGAGAGATGTGGAGGGAGGAAGCGAGACACAGAGAGACACAGAGAAACCGATGCAAAGGGACAAAGCCAGGTAGGGAAAGCAGCAAGAGGGAGAGCAGACACAGCCAGAATGCTAAGGAAGAGAGCGACGAACATACCCAGAGAGGGAGCAGGCAGACAGACCGCCCGAAGAGGCAGAAAGAAGGGCAGCCAGGGTCTAGGACAGGCCGGATCAGCGGGCAATCTCGAATCTCCAGCCCAGAAGCAGAGATGAAGCGCCCGCCTCCCCGGCCCCCAGGCATAAACCTGTCTGAACCCTGAGTGCCGACTGTGGCTGGCGAGGCAGGAGCTTCCGCGTCCCCTCTCAGCCCTCCGGTCCCATCTCACACCAGAAGAGTGGAGGCTGCGGGACCCACTGTCTTGGCGGCGGGAGTGGCGGAGTGACGGGCTGGGCGTGGACGGACGGACATTCGGGGCACCAACTTAGCGGCCCGAACGCCGGAGTGCAGGGTCCCCACTGCCCGACAGGGGGTGCCCAAGGCCTCTTCCCCGAGCTTGGGGGCCTCTCTTCCTCCAGGGGGCGCCCGTGCCCACGGCCCCAGCAACCCGTTCGATCCAGAGTCCCGCTGCCTTTTGACCCGCTGTGCAGCCAGCGAGCGGATTGGGATCCTGGTGCGGTTTAGCGCCCAGAGTCCTGTCCCAGAGGGATCCCTAATCTACGGCTAATGACTCCTGTAGTCCCCCACCCCGCTGGGCCAGTCCTCGTGGTGAGAAAGTGTGGCGAGCGAGAAGAGAACCCAAGGAGTCCTGTGTTCCAGATCGGCCCCAAGGGCCACGAGCCAGAAACAGGAACCAAAGATGGAAGGGGGCTTAGAAAGAAATAAGTCCACAAAGACAGGGACTAGAAGGTGAAGGGTCAAGGAGTGGTGGAGAGGCGGAGCAGAGGCCATAATGTAACGTTGCCGATCCGTGAGCGCGGAGGAGGCCCAAGGCCGGAAGAACAGCGGCGGCTCTGGAAAAAGCGAGCGACAGAGGTTATATGGGACCTGGCCGGGGTCACGGGAACTCAGACTAAGGGCACAAGGAGGCAGGAGAGGGCCCGTGAGCAAAGGCGCAAGGACCAGGCGCCCCTTCCGGCGTCCTGGCTTCCCAGCTGTGCCACAGAGAACCAGATGTGCAGCCCAGCTGTGCGACCGCTCGAGCTGGAGCTCTGGGATTGCTTTTTGGTCCCAGAGACTGGAGGGCTGGGGTGCGCCGATGACAGGACACGCCCTCCCTTCTGGGGCCCTGGAGGCGCGGGTTCTCTAGGAGGGCTGGGCTGCTGGAGACTCTGACATCTCGTCAGCCCGGCTCCCCCGCCCCACGCACACTTCGCAGCGAGTCTCTGTCTCTTTGTTCTCGCCGTGTCTCTGACACTTTATCTCATTATCCGCCTGAGGGAGGCGGAGAGCCCGGGACCCCGCAGCCTAATTACGACCGCGCTTGTCAGAGTAGGGGGTGGCGGAGGTAGCGGCGCGAAGGAAAGGGAGGGGGACCCCAGAAAGCGCCCTCTCCCTCCCTGTACCCCGAGGATCCCAGAGACCGGTGAACAGCTCGCTCCCGCCCGCGCCCTCCACAGCCGGGCTCTGGAGGGGGAGGTGCGGGTGCTCTGCCGGATCTGCTGCGAGCAGGGAGGGGTGATGGGGGTTAAAGTGGGAGTGGGGGTAGAGATTAGGCCTCGGCTCCTGCGTCCCCAAGATCCCAATTCCCCAGAGGCGGGGGACTTTGAGCCTCCCCACCCCAGCAGCACAGCACTCACCTGAGAAGGCTGAGGACAGGGAGAGAGTCGCTCGCAGTTTTGTCTCTGTTTTCTTCTCTTTCCTACCAGCATCTTACAGAGCTTTCCTGTTTCCCTCACTCCATTCCCTTCCTCTCCATCTCACAGCCAGAGGAAGAGGATGGCTTCCTTGGGCAGCTCCACCTTCACCCTACCCCAGGTAGGCAGAGCAAGCAAGTCTCTCAAGCCCTACTGCCCTGACTGTGGCAGAAGAAATAAACTGGCTTATTCTATCCTGATCCTGAGCCATGAATAAGACACACCTGGTTCTTCCAGCCTCCAACCTCGATTGCAGTCCAACCGCCACCTGGAGAAACACTCAGAACAAGTGGGGCTGGGGCAGCTTTATGGTGTCGGCCTGTCTCCCTCCTTACCCCACTACACTGTGGAGGGGACAGAACCAGGGTCCTCAGGACCCGCTCCTGGACGGCTCCAGGGGTGTCAGGGAAGTGCTGCACATGCCCTCGCTGGCCCTGGCTCCTCCTGGTCCCACCTGTGAACACTCCACACATGCATTTTGTTCAATGCCTGTCCCACAGCCATCCCTCCCCCACATGGGGTCCTATGCCAATAAGCCTTTCCCTCAGATACCCAAAGCCCCAAGAATGATGGCGTCCCTTGGGCCAGGTACAGGCATCTGGAGGAGAGAGTCAGAGAACAGAAACCTCCTGGCTTCCAGACAATTCCCCTCCAGGCTTTGGGCCTGGAATTGAGGAGAAAGTGAGCTAAGTGGGGGTGGGGCCAGGCTAAGTTGCTCTGGTCTGGGCTGATCCCTCCCCAGCTGGGGGCGGGACCCCAGAAGGAGGGAGAGGGCTGAGCCATTGGAGAGGACCAGACACTGGAAAAGCGACATGGCAGGAGCCAGTCTTGGGGCCCGCTTGTACCGGCAGATCAAAAGACATCCGGGGGTGAGTTCAGTCCTCAGAACCTCTGATCCTAACTCCTAATTCTCCTGCTGCCCCACCCTCCAAATCCTCCAGTGCCTTGCCTTATGCCCAGGTCCCTCAGCGCTCCTAATCCTCTCCCAAGATTGCCTCAGTCTCTCTCCAAAATGTCCCTGTGTTCCACAAATCTACTACCTTGGACAGGATCACTGTAGGGTGAGGGAGACCATGCCAGGAAATATGGTTGTAGGAGGTTCCAGGTCCCCTCTCCCACAAGGGAGGGAGCACCAGACTCCAGGTGGGGTTGGGATGGGCGGAAAAGCTTGTAAAGGGTGACTGTGAACTTCGGGGAGAGGGCTGACCCCAAAAGTGCTCTCCATGTTCCCTGCAGCTCATCCCGATGATCGGCTTCATCTGCCTGGGCATGGGCAGCGCTGGGCTCTACTTGCTTCGACTTGCCCTGAAAAGCCCCGATGTCTGGTAAAGGGCGGGCTTGGGATGCTCTCAGGGGGCCTGGGCGAGGCAAGATAGGGTGGGAAGGCGTTCACCTCTCAGGAATGGTGGGAATAGGTGGTCCTAGTGGGGATCCCCCGACCTGCTGCATGGCCCTCCAACTGTACCGACCAGCATCTCAGGGCTGGAACCCATTGCTGACCTGGGAGACCCCCACATCCCCTCCAGCCTACCTGGCTGCTCACTCCTCGGCTTGGGCCCCCCTGAACTATGGAACCCTCGCCTCTCCTGGCCTGGTTACCATGACAACACTGCTCAGCAGTGGCGGGCTCCTGCTTTTGGGTCCAAGTCGGTGCCAGAACACTGAGGGTTTGGCCAAGTGAGCTGCTGGGGATGGCATTGGGGATTTCAGGGTGGTGCGGAGATTTCACACCCAGCCCTCGGAGGGGGTCCAGAAGTGAAAGGTGCACCCACCCAAGGCTTTACAATTCCAGGCACACTGCCAGAAACCCAGCCCCGTGGGATCTCTGCCTGATGGGGTTAACCTAGGGTGGCAGGTAGCAAATGGGAGTCCCTGGGTCTCATTGTCAGTTTGTCACCCAGCCCCATGCTGACAATGGTGACAGGCTTGTCTCACTTGACAGCACCCACTAATATGACCCTTCCCTGTCAGTCTCTGGGAAATGGGCCCCCCAGGGCAGGAATTGGGGGTACTGGGGTGGTGCCAGAGCCTCCAGCTGGAGCTTGGGGTTCAAATTGGGTTACAGAGTCCTGGGTCTCAGGGAGGAGACCCTAACCCTCTCTCCTCCTCCCGCTCCACAGCTGGGACAGAAAGAACAACCCGGAGCCCTGGAACCGTCTGAGCCCCAATGACCAATACAAGGTACCTCTTGATGGCTCCAGGGTTGCCCCCATCCTCTTATCTCCTGGTCTTGAGACCCACAACTCCCTACTAGAAGCAAAGGGAGGCTTGGGGCACTCAGTGCAACCCCCTTTCCTTCTCCTTAGTTCTTCGCAGTTACCACTGACTATAAGAACCTGAAGAAGGACCGGCCAGACTTCTAAGCCAGGCTGGGCAGCCAGTGCCATGCAAACCACGGACAGCTAGCCCACCCACTTCTATTCCTCCCCCAGACCCCTCCCAACAAACATCAAGGCGTCGGTCCGGCCACCCTGTCCTGTCCGGCTCCTGGTTACACAGGCCGGGTTCCCACGAAGAGGGGAGGCTGCTCCACCCCTACTCTCCTCCCCGACTCCCAGCAGCCGGAAGCACCTCTGACCCTCCGCTTTAGTCCCACATGGGGGAGGGGGACGAAGGCAGCGCCAGGAGGGGTCGACGAAAAAAACCCAAGCCAGCCCCTCTGCGGTCCTATGGGGCCTCGAAGGGTGTGGCACAGGCTACGTGTTGAGCGTGGTCTACGTGAGCCAACAACAAGCAGGGGCCTCTGAGTGCCAAGCGACGTGGCGAGGTCCGCGTTAGCTCAGGCTCTGGGAGCCAGCCCAGGGGCGGCGCTGCCCAGCTTGGGCTGGTCCAGGGCCTGCCCAGGCTGAGGCACCTTTGTCTCCTGAGGCAAAGCACACTCCTCCCCTGCCCAAGCCTCCCACCAACATATAGTACCCCCTCTAGCCCCACACCTGGGCCTCCCCCTGCCGTTCCCCTCCCTTGCTCCCTTCTGTCCCCAGGGATCAAACAGAAGCAGCCGTGGGCAAAATACAATTTCATTTAACAAATTGAATTTGCTGCGGCTGCTAATCACGTCTGGTGTTGGCTCTGATCAGAGACAGAGAGGAGGCTGCAGCCCCTGGGGTCTTTGCGGTGGATGTGGTGGGAGGGAGAGGTGTACACAGTGAGGGAGACAAATGACTGTTTGGCCCAGGGAACCCCACCCACAGTAATGGAAACTCAGGGCAGGTTGGCATTTTATTAGATAAAAACAGGAAGGAGAGTGCCCACCCACTCCTGCCTGCCACTGGCTCAGAAGGGCACTCCCTAACTTCCCCAAGAAAGAGCACAAGTCTCTGACACTGTGATCATGACAGGGTTCCAGCAGAAAGCACCTGGGCCCTCCTAAGTCTTGTTACCAAAAAAGGAAAAAGAAAAAATCTTCTCAGCTACAAATTCTGGGAAAGGGACTACACCTGGCTCTTGCCCTAAGTGAGAGGTCTTTCCTCCCACACCAGAAAATAGAAAGGCTTTCTATTTCACTGGCCTAGGTGTGGGGAGGGATAGTAACTTCCAGTCTGTGGGCCTCATTTCCCAGGTGCCTTCAACGCTCATCAAAACCAGGCATGGGGAAGGCCCTGGCAAACTGCTCCACCCGTTGCCTGAGGTCGGCCAGACGCTGACTTGTTTCTGAGTCTTTGAGCAGGAAGGATTTGAAATCCTGGAGCTTGGCTAGAGAGAGAGGGTGAGAAAACAAGTGGTCAGAGCTCCGGGGAAGGCAGTGAGATTGGCTGGGGGAAACAGCAGACAGTGCGTGGGACTGGCTGGCCCAGCGGGGCCTTCTTGCCACTCACCAGTCTTGCTCTTCACATCTAAGCCAATGTTGACCCCTTCATCTATAAAGTCCACAACTCTCCGGAAGTCATCCTCACGGAACTGTCGGGAAGTCAAGGCTGGGGCCCCTGGAAAGAGGCACAAGAGGAGGGATGAGCATAGCCCAAGGTTACCTGGCAGGCATCCAGCATGGGAGCCCGTTCCCCCTACTTGAATCCCAGGTCTCACCAAGCCGCAGGCCCCCCGGTGTGATGGCACTTCGGTCTCCAGGACAGGTGTTTTTGTTGGCAGTGATGGATACAAGCTCCAGCACCCGCTCAGCACGAGCTCCATCCAGGCCTTTGGGCCGCAGGTCCACCAGCACCAGGTGGTTGTCAGTACCACCTAAGGCGGGTAAGAAATGGGGAGTGGTGAGTCCTGGGCCTTTGCCTGAAGCTATAGAGGCCCTCACCCATCCCCTGCTGGCTCACCTGATACTAGTGAGTAGCCTCGCTGTAGCAGGGCATCCGCCATGGCCCGAGCATTCTTCAGAACCTGCAGGGAGTACTCTCGGAACATGGGGGTGCAGGCCTGGAGATGAGATAGTAGCAGCTGTGAACCCAGACGTGGACCCAAGCCCTGCACTGCCCTCTTGTCCCTGTACTCTCAGCATAGCTCTGGGACCCCAGCCTTGATCCCTTCCATCTGCCCCAGCATCAGTTAGCAAGATGCAGGGTTTAAGCCTCCAGGCCACTGCTCCCCACACCCCACAGGGACAGGATGCCCAACCTGCTTTAGGGCCACAGCTACTGCAGCAATGGCATGATTGTGGGGCCCCCCCTGCAGGGATGGGAACACGGCAAAGTTGATTCGGTCCTCAAATGTGTAAGGGATCTCCCGGCCAGTCTTGGGGTCCACAGCTTTCACCCCCTTCCGGTAGAAGATGAGTCCTGATCTGTGTGAGAGAGGTGGGTGGTCAGAATCTAAGCCAAAAAGAAGGACAAGGGACAGAAAAGGCAGAGGAAGCTGGCGGACCTAGGCCCTGAGGGTTCATTTCATATGGGCTTGGTACACTGGATTCCAATGGTAGACGGAATCAGCCCCTCAATCCCATCCCCAAATTCCTTGCCAGGGCATGGCCACCATGGGCAAGAGAAGGAGAACTGTCACAGACTGGGCAGGAGTCTTCAGGGCTGCAGGTGGGAAAGAATTTCTTTCAGGTCCAGGCCAACAGTGCCCCAGGAATAGGCCAGAAGGCAGGAAAGGCAATGCCTGACCCCAGGGAGCCTGACCTGGCCCCTCGAAGAGTCTTGTGAGTAGTTGTGGTGACGACGTCCGCATGCTTGAAAGGCGACGGAATCACCTTGGCAGCCACCAGGCCACTGATGTGGGCCATGTCTGCCAGCAGGTGTGCTTTGACCTCGTCACATACCTGGGCAGGTAGAGAGGCAAGGGCTCAGCCTGAGGAGAGCCCGGACAGGCCTGCCCAAGGCTGCCCTCCTCCTACACCTCCTCACCACCCCTGGGGAGGTGCCCAGTCTCCAGCCTCCCACCAACCTCTCTCATGCGGGCATAGTCAATGAGACGAGCATAGGCACTGGTGCCAGCTATGATGAGCCGCGGTCGGAAAAGTCGAGCCGTCAGTGCCAGCTGGTCATAGTCAATGAGGCCAGTCTTGGGCTGGACAGACAGACAAAGAGCTAAAGCCCCGAGAAGGAAGCAGGGCAGCTCACTCTCCTCCTTGACCCTAAGGATGGCCCAGGGCTTCAGTCCCTCAGCCTCTCCAGGAGAGGACCACCACCAGGGCCGAGAGCCCCTCCCCACACTCTAGAGCACTCACGTTGAGCTTATAGGGCATAGACTCGAAGAAGATGGACGTGGCTGAAATCCGCTTGACGTCAGACATGTAGCCATGGGTGAGACTGGGAAGTAAAGGGAAGTAAGGAGGCCTGGGTGGAAGGAACCCCAGACTTAACTGCTCCCTTCAACTTCACAGTTCTCTGTTTCCAGAACACTGGGCCTAGCACACACCGCCTCACTGCTCTGTCCACTCTGTGGTGGGCACTGTAACTGGGATCTTATCTTTCTTATCCACTGTGACATGCAGGACAAGGCCTGTTCCATCAGTATAGTCCACAGTAGGTATTCAATAAATAACTCCTTTCCCACACAATCCTGCCCACCAAGCCCATCAGCCAGCCCATTCATACTCACTGGCCCCCATCAGGCAGGTCCAGCCCCATGATCCGGTCATGAGGTTGCAGAAGGGCTGTGTAGGCAGCCAGGTTGGCTGGGGACCCGGAGTAGGGCTGGACATTGACTCCCCACTGTGCAGGGTCCAGGTCAAAGGCTTCCAAGGCCCGGTGCTGGCACAGCAGCTCAATTTCATCCACCACCTCTGCTCCCCCGTAATATCTGCCATGGGAGAGGGGTAATGAGGGCACAGAGAAGGGACTCCCAACCAGCAGCAAAGGACTGGGAAGTTCACTCCTCAATGAACACTGGGAAGGTACAGGTGGGTTCCCCCACTGGGAGCACCATCCCTGACACTTGCCCTCCAGCCCTCACCTCTTGCCAGGGTAACCCTCCGAGTACTTGTTGTTCAGACAGGACCCCAGGGCCTCCAGCGCAGCTCGGCTGCAGAAGTTCTGGGGTGGTGGGGGGCAATGTCAGAAGGTATTGAGCCCCTTCCCCTGGACTCCCACAGTCCCTCCCTGCCAGAGCCAGAGCTGAAATCGGGAGTACTCCCTGCAGAAATTTCCAATCACTCAGCACCAGGCCTGGGGCAAAGCCAAAGGCAGCATTTTTCAGAAACACAGCTGCCATGAGAGGTGGCCCCTCCAGGCTACCTACCCACTCAAACTTGTGCTTCTAGGCTCCTCTTTCCTCGTGGAAGGAAGGGGAAGATCAGATGAGACTGTAGGAACCCTGGAAGCTCCCCTAATGCCCCAACCCCGTAAATTAGACTTGCCCCGCCTTTGCTTCAGAGAGATAAGAAAGGAGAATAAAGCCCAAAGAAAAGTCCTGAGTGTGAAAGGTGTTCTGGAGAAATATCTGTTAAGGTAACTTCATTACTTCCTGTACCCATGGTGGCCCAACCCCTGCCCATCTCCCCAGGTCCCACCTCTGAGGCAATGAGCTCCAGGCCTCGACACTGCCTGTCCTTTTCCCTCCGCAGCAGCTCCCACATCTCAGGGTCACTGTCCAACAGGCTCTCCTGGCCTGTCCAGCCCCTGTTTGCTTCCCCAGTCTGAGTCTGGGCTGCCTTGCTGTGCTGAGCCCGAATGGCCATCCTGACCAGCTGCCCACATCTCTGCAGAGGCTGGAGGCAGGAAAAGTCAGGGTGAAATCACAACAGTCCAGACAGATCGTCTCCTGACGACCACCCTCACTCATGCTTGTAAGGCCACACCGAGGAGCCAGTTGTCCAGCCAGCCTGTTTCACTTCTCACTATCCCCACCTCCACCTTCAAAAGCCAGTTCTAGAGCCAGGCTTGAGATCAATGTCCAGGAGGTGGTTCTGATTTGTTCCATTCACTGCACTGCATCTCAGAAATCTCCCACCACCTCACTCCATGAACCACTCTGCAAAGCTTGTCCTCGAGAAGCCTATGTCTCCCCAACTCCAGAGAGAGCCACTGAGATTCCAGAACCTTCCCACCCACCGGAACAAGGGGGTCTTCCAGCAGGGCAGCATAAACATACCCTAGTCAGTGGGGTGGGGGGCAGGGGGAGATAGAGTTGGCAAGGGCTGAAGCCGCAGGCTGTAGAGCAATGGAGGTGGGAGGGTACACCTTTAGCAGTCCTTGGGGAAGAGTTATGTGGGAGGGGTAGGGGTGGGGGTCTGCCCGAAAGGAAGCCAATACCCTGTCCCCTTATTTAGCCCCCTACCCCTTCCACCTCCTTCCAGCCCTCACTGCCGCAGGACCCCTGCCTGATGCAAGCAGTAGGGCTCGGTTGCATCATCTGCAGGGCTCAGAGCTGGCCGGAAAGGCTCAGCTTGTGAGGCCAGGCCGAGAACTCCGCTCATTCGCCAGCACGGGGTCCTCGGGGCATCCGGCGCTGTCCTTTCCCCTAATGCCACGTGAAATGCGCGGTCACCAGGCCCTGGGGCGTCTGATCGCCAGAATGAGGACGGGTTCGCAGTTCACTCCACGCGTGCCCAGGGGTCTTGGGGATTCCCTAGTTACACGTCCGCTCCCTGAGGCCCCAGTCCACGTGCGTGGACAAGCCAAGAGAACCCGAGTTTGTGACTAGGAACTAAGGTAGGAGAAGAGCTTCCTTTCCACTGGTTACCTAGCATCTGGAGCCCCATTCTTACCCGAGCCACCCAGAGCAAAGAGAAGTACAACATCGCAACTCGGGAGTCGCAGGAGATCCAGCCACCAACTCCGGTCTAGGGCAGCAAGCTGTCGGAAGAAGACCGATCGGAGAACGCATGCGCGAGAAGAGCGCGCTGAGAAGCCAAAGCTAAAGGGAGGGAACCTACGCATGTGTAGTGGTGGCCCTTTTGTGGCCTTATGGGAATTGTAGTTCTTCCCACCTTTTTCTCTATGAATCCCGTCTGTAGCCCCAGGTTTAGAGGTCTATGCCTGAAAAACAAACAAACAAAAAACAGTCTAGTGCCGCCTTCTCTCCTAACTGTCCTGAAGCTTTTCAGGGTTTGTTTTCCCTCTCTCCATTTTCAAGACAAATGTTGATTGGGTGCCTACTGTATATCTAGCTAGCTTTGTTAGACTCTAGGAGATCTGGACTCCCACACAAAATAGCGTGCTATGGAGCACTGGAAAACACCATGGTTTAGAAGGGTCAGAGGCTTGACTTCAAGTTCCAGCTCTGGGATTAGCACATTAGCCTATGTGGGCTTCAGTTTCCTCCTTGGTAAAGCCACAAGAAAATACTGTGTGGTGGGGATTCAATGAGGCTTTTCCTGTGAACCTGCGCTGTGATGGATTGTCCTTCCCTCTTCCTCTGGCCCACAGACCTGCCTCCTCCAAGATATCTCCTCTTTCTCCTCAGACATCTGGGAGCAGAGGGAGGCGCCCCTCCTGTTGTTCACTTATCACATTTTGTCACCTGTGCACCTCTTGATGTCTCAGCAGTCAGTGGGCTCTCCTTTTTTCCCCAGGGCTATAGATCCTTGGGACTAGAAGGGATCTTCGTTTTAGCCTGACTTCATCTGGATGAAACTCTTGGGATTAGGACTCATTGACTCCTCCAGGAAGAAGTTTCCAAACCTGGGTTGGAAAATATATAAATATGAGTGTTGAGTCTGTCTTCAGAGGTTCTAATTCAATGGATCTCAAAGAGTAGACACTTGCCCACCTATGCTGCCACACAAACCTCTCCTCAGTGGTTCTGATAAGCCAACTTGTTTTTATTATTATTATTATTTAAAAAATGCTTTTAGCTGGGCATGGTGGCTCATGCCTGTAATCTCAGCACTTTGGGAGGCTGAGGGAGGAGGATCTCTTGAGGCCAGGATTTCTAAACCGCCTGGTCAATATAGTGAGACCCCATCTCTACAAAATAAAAATTTTTTATAATCCCAGCACTTTGGGAGGCCGAGGCGGGTGGATCACGAGGTCAAGAGTTCAAGACCATCCTGGTCAACAAGGTGAAACCCCATCTCTACTAAAAATACAAAAATTAGCTGGGCATGGTGGTGCGTGCCTGTAGTCCCTGCTACTCGGGAGGCTGAGGCAGGAGAATTGCTTGAACCCAGAAGGCGGAGGTTGAGCTGAGCCAAGATCGTGCCATTGCACTCCAGTCTGGGCAACAACAGCGAAACTCCGTCTCAGAAAAAAAAATTTTTTTTTTAATTAGCTAGGCATGGTGGTATGGGCATGCAATCCTGGCTACTGGGAAGGTTGAGGCAGGAGGGTCAACCCGGGAGTTCAAGGTGAGCCATGGTCAAGCCTCTGCACTCCAGCCTGAGGAAGAGAGTTGAGACTGTCTCAAAAAAAAATTTTTTTTTGAGACGGATTCTTGCTTTGTTACCCAGGCTGGAGTGCAGTGGCATGATCTTGGCTCATGGCAACTTCTGCCTCCCGGATTCAAGCAATTCTCCTGCCTCAGCCTTCCGAGTAGCTGGGACTACAGGCACACGCCACCACGCCCAGCTAATTTTTGTATTTTTAGTAGAGACGAGGTTTCACCGTGTTGGCCAGGATGGTCTTGATCTCTTGACCTCATGATCTGCCTGCCTTAGCCTCCCAAAGTACTGGGATTACAGGTGTGAGCTGCCATGCCTGGCCAAAAAAAAAAAAAAAAATGTTTTTTAAAGGCTAGCGAAGTGAAGTAGTGGGAGTGAAGGAGGAACAAAGAAACCTATAACTGGTTGTGATCAATTAGTTGTAAACATCACTGCACTTGGACAGACTGATAACCAGTGGTTTTGAGAATCATTGCCTTATGTAGCAATGTTATTCATTCAACAGACATATTGAGCTCTTACTCTATGCCAGGCATGCCATACCCCTGGAGATATATGAAGAGCTCACTGGCTGCTGGGATACCACGAGGTGAACAGGTAACAAAATGTGACAATGACAAGCAGGGGCACCTTACCCTGCTCTCAGATGTCCAGATGTATGAGGTAGAGGAGGAGGAGGAAGAGGAGGAGATGCCTTGGAGAAGGCAGAGGAAGAGGGGATAAGAATCCATCACAGCAAATGTTCACAAGAAAAGCCTCATTGAATCCCCACCACACACTATTTACTGTGGCTATACAAGTGAAGAAACTAAGGCCCAGATGGGCTAATTTGCTAATTCCAGCCATTCCCACCTGGGTCTCATACCAGGCCTTAGAAATGCCCCCTTAGCTGGACCCTCCTTCCCCGCCACTCTAGGCTCGGCTTTTCTCAGGTGTTTCCAGCAATAAGCCTGGTGTTAGGAGACTTCTGGGTTCTTCTGCTTTTGGCCAGTCTCGGCTCCAGAACCATTCCCCATCTCCCTGCTCTCTTCAGTTGACCCTGTTATTCCTCCATCCAGCCAGCCAGCAGATATTTATTTTCTGCTTACTGACTTTTCCCAGATATGTCTGGGTCAGACCCGGTTTCTGACTCAGTTTCAGGCTGCAGCCAGTGGGCAAGCCCCTGGGGAACACTGCCCTCCCAGTGGACATTCTGACCCTGGACTCAAGACAAAGATGAGGAGTTTCTCGGTGCCTCAGCTTGTCCGCACCCCCTCCCTCCTCGAGCTAGGGGTCCCTAGGGGAGGGGGGCGGCTGTGCTGAGAACCGCTAATGAAGCCGCAGCCAATTAACGCCCAGGCCAGGGTTGGGGGCGGATAAAATTAGCAGCCTAGGCTGCAGGAAGACGCCGGAGGCAGGGGCTGGGGGAGGGTGGCCAGTTGGCTAAAGAGGGCTGGGTTTGCAGGCCGCAAGTAGCGGCGACGGGCCCCGCCTTCCAAACCCGCGCTGGTCCCTTCCCCCACCCCCTCATCCCAAAGCTCCCTCCCTCCCTCATCCGTCTGCAAACTCAGCGCCCACGAAATTAGGAAGGAAAAGGAAGATCGATGACTCCAGATGCTGTGAACACCGTTCCCCCCTCCCCAGCCTGCCACCTCCATCCCGCCCCGCGGAGCTTAGCAGGTTGTTAGCGCTCCGCCGACACTGTCCCTGCATCTCCATCCCATTCAAGGTCTTACACTTCCTTCCCCAAATCGTCCCAAATAGTTCGCTGATGATCCCCACTTGGGTCTCATTTCCATCTCACCTTCTGCAGCTACCCTTCGCCCACCTCAGGGAGGAGAGTAACAACCTCAGGCGGGCTCCTACACCGAGGGTAACCCTCAGCTCTCTTTGATCCGGTCTTTGGTGACTTCCAAGGTGTTAGCTCTGTCAGGCTTTGCCTTGGTTTCCCCACGAGCCGCTGAGGAAGAAGGCCCTGGCCAGGTCTCTACCAGACAGAAGCCCACACCACCTCCCCATTCCCTACAAAGGTCTCACACAGGCGCGTATTGGATTTCACTTTATTTTGTTCCCTTTCTCGTCTGTTTTGGCGTAGAAAAAATATCACCGAGAGGAAGCAGCTGGAGAGGGCGGGTGGAGCTGGACTGCAGGGACTGACTGGAGGGAGGCGGGTAGGGGCCGGGCCGGGCCGGGCCAGCGCCTCAGCCCAGGAGTTCTGCTTCCACTACCCTAATGTGGTTTGGAGGAAAAGGGGACAGGCATATAGCAGGCAGAAAGGTGGGAGGACAGGCCGGGGTTTTTAGGCCTTTACAGTCTTAGGCGGGCAGGGTGGCGCAGAACAAAGTGCTGGGGGATAGGAAAGTCAGGGCGGGTTGAGGGTGCCAGGCCAGGAATTATTAAAGCTTGGGGAGGGGGCGGTGGGCGGGGAAGGGAGTGCCCAGCCTAGCGCCGAGGATGAAAAAGGGACTCAGTGTGGACCTAGGGGACATTGGGACCACCTCCAAGCTCCACCTATTCTGGGGCTGCACTCTTACCCCTTTCATTTTGGGGTGTATTGGAGGGGGCTACCCCAGCCTCTCGGGCACTCCACATAAGGAAAAGGGCACCCACGGTAGCTGAGGGTCCCGAGAGGGTCGTTCCCCTCCAGCCCCAGAGTGGAAGAAGTGGGGCCAAGGGAGTGGTAGAACAAGGTGGGAGTGGGGGTTCCCACCTAGTGAGGCTGGGATTTGGCGGGAGGCTCAAGGCTGGGGGGCTGGGGAGGGGCGCTATCCGAAGTAGGGGTGCTCACTCTGGAAGTTATAGTCTGGGCACACCTTCTGCACCAGTTTGTAGTCAAAGCTGAGGAAAGAGACGAAGATACAAATGACTTTGAAGGGCTTGGCACAGAGCCAGGCGGCCTGGCTCTGCGTGTGCTCGGTGAAGCACACCTGCGATGGGTCGTACAGGCACGGGCGGTGCTTGCGAGCGCGGTTTGTCTTCTCATACTCCACGTGGCAATTGAAAGCGCGCGACTCTTTGGCCCCTGGCACTCCCAGCGCGCCCCCAAGCGGCCCCGCCAGTGCGCCCCCGAGGGAGCCCCCAAGCCCCGGCCCTGCCGCTGCTGCCGCCATCCCCAGCGGGGGCCCCAGCCCAGGAAGCACCTCCTCCAGGGCCAGCGTAGATTGCAGAGAGTGGGGGGCAGGACCGGGCAGCCAGACTCCCCCAAACTCTACACGCTTGGAGGGCGGCACGATGCTGACACTGAGATTGCCCAGGCTGGACGAGTTGTGGCGGAAATACACACTGAAGGTACCGTTCACATGGTCCACGATCTTGCCGGTCACCAGAAGTGAAAACTTGAGAGTATGCACCCGAAAGTAGAAGTCCCCCCAGCCGAAGATCTTTTTGGCGCGAGCCGCCTTGATGGACGGCTTCCTCTTGGCGCGCTGCGCGGGCAACGCCCCGGCTGCCCCCGCCCGGGCCAGCGCCCCCGTGTGGTTGGTCGGCCAGGCCCAGCTCCAGGCGCGGCCGGCGCCTAGGCCGTCGGAAGACCTCGGCTCTGGCAGCTGCTGGCCCGGAGCACCTGCTGCCGCCGCAGCGGGGCGCAGCTCCAGGTACTGCGGCCTTCCGGATTCTGGTATCTGGGCATTGACAGCCTGTGCACGAAGAAAGAGGAGAGAGAGAAAGAGAGAGAGAAAGAGAGAGAGAGAGAGAGAGAGAGAGAGAGAGAGAGAGAGAGAGACACGCTGGGTTTGTCCCCTGCCATCCTGTCAGAGCCCTACTCAGGCCAGCGCCTTTCCACAGCCGCTTGGAGACCAAATGGAACCAGGCAGTCTCGGAGGGGGCAAGGAGTGCACCTGCAGCCCTTTCAAGCTATGTGGTCTTGGCTAAGTCCCTTCATCTCTCTGGGCCTCAGTTTGTACGTCTGTGAAATGACGTCAAGAATCTGTGTGCTCACAGGGCTCGAATGGGAGTCAAAAATCGAAAGCCAGTAAGAACGTGAGTAGGGAGTGGAGCTCTGGCTCCCGGCTCCTCTTTCCTGGCCCCATCCCTGATTGGTTCCAGTAATGAGCCCGGGAGCCTGAGACCACGTTAACATCCAGCATCAAGAAAGAGGCTCTGGCCGGGCACAGTGGCTCAAGCCTGTAATCCCAGGACTGTGGAAGGCCGAGGTGGGTGGATCATCTGAGGTCAGGAGTTTGAGACCAGCCTGACCAACATGGCAAAACCTCGTCTCTAGCAAAAATTATCTGGGTGTGGTGTCCCATGCCTGTAGTCCCAGCTACTGGGGAGGCTGAGGAGGGAGAATCGTTTGAACCAGGTAGGTGGAGGTTGCAGTGAGTGGACATCACACCACTGCACTCCAGCCTGGGCAACAGAGGGAGACTCCCTCTCAGAAAAAAAAGAAAGAAAGAAAGAAAGAAAAAGAAAGGCGGCCGGGCGCGGTGGCTCAAGCCTGTAATCCCAGCACTTTGGGGGGCCGAGGCGGGTGGATCACGAGGTCAAGATATCGAGACCATCCTGGTCAACATGGTGAAACCCTGTCTCTACTAAAGATACAAAAAAAAAATTAGCTGCGCATGGTGGCGCGTGCCTGTAATCCCAGCTACTCAGGAGGCTGAGGCAGGAGAATTGCCTGAACCCAGGAGGCGGAGGTTGCGGTGAGCCGAGATCGTGCCATTGCACTCCAGCCTGGGTAACAAGAGCGAAACTCCGTCTCAAAAAAAAGAAAGAAAGAAAGAGAAAGAAAAAGAAAGAGGCTCCAAGACCTCAGAGACCAGGAGAATCCCAAGCTCAGGCAGAGCTCCTACCCCAAACGAGGGTAAACCTCAGCCCCAACTGGCCTGCAAGGAGTGGGTGCTGGGAACCGGTTGAGCAGAGGAGGAAAGTCCGACTGTCCCTCCTGGTCCCCAGTGCTCCAGCTCTGGTGGAGGCTACCTGGCTGTTTTTTCCCTGGGCTTCAGGGTGGCCGAGGAGCCCCTGCCCGATCCCACCATTCTGTGTGTCTCTGGTGGCCACTGATCTCAGAGACAGTGCAGGCTCCAGGACAAGATGAATCGAGAGGCAGGAGCAGCCAGGCCGGGCCTGGGCCATCAATTATCTGGGGTAGGGGCAGGGGTTGGTGGCCGGGAGTGAAGGAGACGGAAAGGAAGCGAGAGGAAGAAATATGGAGATGCTGCTCAGGGAGGGGAGCAGGCGGGAGAGGAGCTGCATGTCAGAGGGTGTCAGTCAGCCTGAGTTAGCCACCACTGCCTGGTGCTGTGGCCCTGACTGTGCACAGGTCCCTGGGGGGCAGGGGAAGGCATACCACATGTGTCAGCCTGGGGTGCTGGTGTCTCCGTTAGCCCCAAAGGGTTATGTGTGGCCTGTACATGTGTGTGGCTGTGGTGGCTGTGTGGGTGTGTCTGGATGTCCACACATGAGTCTGAGGAGGCTGTGTGTGTGTGGCTGCCAGTGGTGTCTGCATGTCTGTTGTGTAAATTGGTGGTGACTGTGTGTATGTGCCTGGATTGGCAGTGTGTGTGCCCGTGCACGCTTGCCTGGTGTGGTTGTGTGTCTGGGTTGGCTGTATGGCTGTGTACAGTGAGTGGTCTGAGGGTGGATGTGTGTGGCTGTCTGAAGGTGTCACCTTTCCTGTGTGACACCCTGTCATCCTCTGCCCAAGTGTCAAGCTCTTTCTAAAGGGGGTGTATCCATAGTCACAGAACAAGTGTGGTCTCGCTGTGTTCTGATGGGCGTGGGATGTGTGTGCATGTCAATTGTATCTGAGTGATCTCTGGGGAGATGTCCCACACTGGCCCACAGGCTGTGCTGTGGGTAGGTAAGGAGCCAGGAAGCATGGGTGCCCCTCTCTGTTTGCCCACACCCATGTGTACACACTCTGTGTCACCGGGGACAGGAACAGCAGAGCCAAGCTGCTGGGCTAGAATCTCCACCGCCTGTTGTCCCTGCCGCGCTGCGATCCCGGGTTATTAATGCTGCCGCCACCCGCTCGTCATACATATTTATCGCCCCCCTCATTCCCCTCCCATCCATCCCTCCTCCCAGCCCAGGTGAGGGGGCGGGGATGGCAAGAATGATTGACTCCGACAGACAGGCTTAAGCTGGCAGCTAACACCTGGAGAGTGGGCCTGAGAGGGGGTGGAGGAAGGGGTCCCACGGTACAGTGGGAGGGAGAAGAAGCCCCAGAAGTGGGCTTGGAAAGGACAGGGCCTGAGCCTGGGAGAAGGCACTGGGGGAGGGGAGTTAAGTTTCCTGGGAAAGCTGGAGGGAGGGCCGTTTGAACTCTGATCCCTAATCTCACCCAACCGCTGTTCCTTCCAGAAGCCCAGACACCCAGGTCCTCCCATCCCCTGCCATCTGATGCTATAACTCCAAATGCCTCCAAGCCATCACCTCCAAGCCATCCCCTCCCAGCATACCCATGCACCCCTATGTCCTTTACCCAGTCAGAACCTGGCTGGGGCGATTCAGGCCAGTGATTCCTACCAGGCAGGGGTGGGGGAGGGGGGGAGCTTCAGCATGGTAAGGAGAGGTGCCAGGGTGTCACTCCCATCTCTGATCTCAGACAAATTGCCGTCTCTGCTTCTCTGATCCTGGTGAATCCCCTGGCTTTGGGCACTCCCACCCCTACCCGCTGCTGTAGACGGCCAAGATAAAAAGGAAGAGTTGGGGGAGCACGGGCCGGCAGGCCAAAGCGACCTTGTAGGGGAGTTTGGACAGGGAGGGGCGAGAGTCTGCGAGGAAACGAGCCGAGAAATGGGAACATGGAATAAAATAAAATAAAATCCTCCCTCTGGCTCCGTAGATTGCTTTCGCTCTCTCTCCCTCTCTTGAGCTCTCACTGTTTTTCCATCTCTCTCTCTCTCTCTCCCTCTCCCCCCCATTCTCTCAGTCTCTTTTGTCACTCAGTCTCTTTTCTCACTGTCTCTGCCTCAAATTTCCTCCTCTCCTGATTCTGATTTCCTCCTCCCTCTTTCTGTCTGTGGTTCTCTCTGGAGTCCTTCAGGCTGTCTGTCTCCAGCAGCATGGGGAGGGGGTGGGGGGGGAGGGAGGGAGAGGAGTGGGGAAGGCAGGTGGTAAGGAGCTCCTCTCTGCACAGAGCTCTGGTAGCCCACCTCCATAGCTGAGGGTGGGAGCAGGATGTTGTCCGAGGAGGGGTCCACCTTGCTCCAGAGCTGGCTTAATTAAGCTAATTGGACTCGGTGACATTTGTGGAGGGGAGAGGCTAGCTCCACTGTCAGCGCGGGGGTGGGGCAGAGGTGCCCAGCAGCTGGGGGGTTTGGCAGGCTCCTCCAGGCCCAAGTCAGCCAGCGGGAGCTGCACCAGGAGTGCTTTGCCCCCAGGCAGCGGGCCCACGCACCTTCGGGGAGTTGAGGTGGCCTCCTGCTGCTGGGGGGCAACAAACTCTACTTCCGGGAGTGGCTCTTTGGGGATGAGACTGCTGGGAGTGGGGGGAGGATCAGACTGTCAGCCCCCCAGCCGCATTGCAGGGTGCACCTCCCCTGGGCCTCCAGACTGGCCGGTTGCTTCTCCCCTGCCGCCTGGGTCAGGTGGGGTACTCCCAGGATCTGACGGGGGAGGGGACAGTACCCTGTAGTTGGAAAAGGGATAGTCTAGGCCTGGGCTGGGGAAGGGAGAAAAGAGCACGCTGAACCCCTGGGCCTAGGAAGAGGCAGGGGTGCTGCAGCCGAGGACGCTGGAGTCTGGCTGGGAGCCAGGGACAGAGGTGTGGGTGAGGACAGAGCTGGGGTGGACAGGACAGCCTGAGGTGAGGACTGAGACACAGATTGGGGCACTGGGATTGGGGCCCGGCAGGCACAGATATAGGGTACAGAGACGAGGATCCGGTAAGGATAGGCCTGGGGACAGACATGGTGGCCAGGCATGGGGCAGAGGCAGAGATGCGGATAGGTTAAGAACCAGAGGAATGAAGATGGGCCATGGAACAGTCCGGAAAGCAGCTTGGGGACAGGAATGGGGGAGGAGGGACAGCTCTTTCCAGACCTTACTATGGCCTGAGGGGCGGGGCCGGTGGTGGGGTGGGCTCTGCCCTTGGGCTGGATGCCCCCTCCCTCTACACCCCGCCTAACTGCCTTCTTTCGGCCTGCCGCGCAAGGTTATCTGAATTTTGATTTTATTTTATTTTATTTTATTTCCCTGCTTCCTAGAGCCAGCGCGGTCCCCGCGGGAACGGCTGCCCCCCGCCCCCCGCCCCGCGCCTCACTTTATTATTGCAATAAATGTGCCTATAAAGGCGCCGGCTCCGGGGCGCGGTGGGGGTTGGGGGGAGCTGCGGAGCGGGGATGTAATTTCCCGAAGCCGGAGCCTGAGGGGGAGTGGGCGGGGTGGAGGTGGAGGAGGGGCAGGCAGGGGAGAGGGGAGCCTCGCCAATTTCCAGCGCTCAAGGCAGCACTCCCTGCTCCCCATCCCCACTGGGCAGCTGCTTTCCACCCCACGCCCGGCGACTCCTGCCTGTGCCAGAGCCCTGGGACCCCTCTCCTACGACCCTGCCCCCTTTCTATTTGCCCTGTCCCTCACGGATTCCGCCCATCTTGAGTTGCAGGGCTAGGTCCAAAGTTCCCCATCTCCTCCTCCGACCTCCGTGAGGTCCCCCCACTTACCTGATTTCTTTAGATGTTTATGTTGCCCTCTCCAATTACCTCGTCCCTGACCCCTCTTTGCCTTGCTTCTGTCCTTATTACCTCACCCTCCTCCCTGGTTACCCTCTCCTGGGTCTCCAGCTTCTCACCCATCCCAGCTCTGACACTCTAAATTCTCCTTTCTGACACTTGCCCCTCCTAATAGGACTGTGAGGCTTCCACTGCAGGCTCTGGCCCAAGGGAGCTGTCACAGCAGCGCCCCCCCCATTCCTCCACCCAGCTGCGGCCCCTGATTACCCCCAAATCCCCGCCAGCAGCTCTGGGCCCTAGCTGAGGCTGTGCGTGCCTAAGTGGCCCAGCCAGAGATTAGCTGGGGGGCTAGAGGAGGGTGTGGAGGCAGGAGGGGGTCGCTGGCAGAGGGGCTTCAGCCAGCCAGCTCAGAGAGACTCATCCTAATCCTTTCCTGAGGCGCGATAGAGCTGGTGGTCCCATAGGGCCCCGCCCCTGCCCTTCCCCAGCTAATTAATGATTAGTGATTAGTGACTATTGATCGCCTGCTGCTTCTCCCAGTAGACAGTTATTTTGGCGAGGGGTCTGAGAGACACAGACAGGAGGGAAAGGAGTCAAAGACTTTATGAGAAAGACCCTGAAGAATCCCTGACTGAGAGGCCAGAACCCCAGAGGTAGTAGAAGCCAGGAGTCCCAGGCCCTGAGAGATGGGAAGCCTGGAGTGAGGAGGAAGGGAGAGAACCCTGGAGGAAGGTGAGCAAGCAGGATGGGAGAGGCAGAGGTGTCAGCCTTTCATGGTTAGGGTTGCTAAAGAGCTGCCCCATAAACTGTCCCCTACTCGCCTCTTACCCAGGATCAGCCTCACCTTTTGCCCACTCCCAGTGCTGGCACCAAGACACCCCTGGGCACCCACACACATAAGCTACACTCAGATACATAAACACAACCTGAGGCTCACAATCTCATACCATACTCAAATGGACTCGCAATCACAAGCACATAGAAGCACACTCACAAACCCCAGAGACTCATACAGATAACACATGGGCCCCAGCATACAGAGGACCACGGGGTACACATGCAAACACACCACACTCACAAGTGCACAGAAGCACACACAGCTATTTGGACACACAAACACTCCTCTACCCACACTTCCCCATGCAGTTATACATATTCACACACCCGCAGTGTGTACACACACGCAAACACATTCTCACATGCACACAGGCTGGGCTAACAGCAGATCCACTCTCCCGGTTGACTCCAGCACGGAGGCCCCACAGCTGCAGCTCTCACACACACTCAGACAGATCCCATCGCTCATATCCTCATGCTCACTCTCCCTTGAGTCTCCACCAGATGTTTCATTCCCCTTCAGGGGGCAAAGGAAATTAAACCAGATCTGTCCACGGGGGAGTTTATTTACCAGGGAGAGTGGAGATGAGGAGGGAGGAAGTGGAAAGGAGGGGGCAGGAGAGTGCCATACCTACCACCTCTACACATATGGGTGGGTGGGTTGTAGGGCACAGACCCCCCCCCCACTTCAAGTCCACTAAGGCAGAGCTGGGCAGCAAGTCCGTAAGAAGTTCCTGCCAGTGGAAGCAGTTTTCATGGAGGGGCTCCTCTGCCTACCTTCCAGCCCCTCAAGGTCACCAGGCGGGGCTGGGAGGGCCAGGGAGCTCTAGCGTTAACTTCACTGGGGCAGCCCCTGCCCTGCTGGAGTTGGCCGAATGTAATTTGGCTGAGCAGGCAGGGGTCCCAGTATTAAGGGGAGAAATACACCCCTTCCAGACTACAGGAGCTGGGGCTACAGAGAGTGAGGGTCTGGGGAATGACCTGCCTGCCCCCAAACTAGGTAGGTCACAGTTGAGATCCAGGAAACAGGGAAGCCATGAGCAAGTAAGTCTGGCAGTAGGAAAATGGGGGACTGGGTACTGGGCCCTCCATTGTGGGTACACGCCAGAGGCATAGACAGATGGCTGCACTGTGAGGCAGGCACTGGCACTCACGCAAAGCCAATACCACCACACCACACCAGTATACACATGTGCCCTGGGCCCTAGTACTGGACAGCCAAGCCGGGCTTCCCTGGACACATGAACACAGGTGCACATGGTGACCCACGGCCTCCAGCACATAGGAGCACACCATGTACTCGGGTTGAAGCCTCCGAGTCAGAAGGAGGCAGATCAAGTCTGGGTCGCCTTAGCCTCTGGGTCTTCGCCTGAGAGCCTCAGGGAAAGAGGCCTTGGAGTGGGGTTGGAGGAGGGAGGGCATGGGAGGAGAGACTCCCCTTCCAGACAGCCCCCACTTCAGTGGGGCACGAGAGGGGGTGTGTCTGTGAGGTCGTGCAGGGGAGATGGTGTCTCCGTGCGAAATGTGATAGGAGGCTGTAGCCAAGTTCAGCCGTGTCTGCCTGAGTCCGTGTGTGCGCGTGTACTCGGGCCACGGATGCTCCCAGCACAGAGCCCACCTGGCATGGTGACAAGTGCAGAGAAGAGAAATGGGAAGGAGAGGGTGGAGGGGTGTAAGGACAGACAGACAGTGAGGAAGGCGAGCGAGGCTGGCGCGGAAAGACGGCAAAGCTGACACCCTGCTGGCTTGTCTGTCTGTCTCGCACTCCCGCTCTGTCTAGCGCACTCGCGGGTCGGGCTTCGTCCCCTCCCCCGCTGCGCCTGAAGCCGGCTCCGAGCCGGGGCTCCGCCCGGCACCCTCTCCAAGCCTCAGCCAACTTGCGCTGGGAGAGCGCCCGTCCTGAATCTGGCAGTCTGTCTGTCCGCGTCCCCCAAGCCGCGCAAAGTTGGGACGCTCGGAGCTGGGGGCGGGGCGGGCGCACGGAACCCCTCGCACTCTGGGACCTTTGCGTCCCGGACCCCCGCGCCCGCGCCCCAGCCCTGCCACCCTTACCTTCCTAAGGAGCCACGGGCCAAAGAGCAAGAGGAACCATTCTGGGAGCAGCCGCATCTTCTCGGGCGGCTGCGTGGGGCGGGCGGGGCGGGTCCCGGGCAGGCGAGAGCCGGGCCTGGGGGCGCGGGTCTCCGGGCGGGCGGGCGGGCGGCGGGGCGGCTGCGGGAGCGGCTGGAGCAGCGGGAGCGGCGGCGCGGCCCGCGGACTGGGCGCGAGGCGCGGAGCCGGCGCTGGGGGCGGGGCGCGGGCGGGGGAGAAAGTTGGGTCGGACTCCGCGGGCGGGGGGCGGGGCTCCGCGGCGCTCCAATCCCGGCCGCGCCCCGCGCGCCCCCTCCCGCCCAGCTGGGGGCACCGAAGGTGACTTTCACCCCGACACGCCCCGGACACACCCCTGGCCCAGGTGCGAGGCGGAGGGGGTCGATGGGCTCAGGCCCTGGACTCCCGAGAGGCCGCGTCTGTGTGCCCCAGAGGAACAGGGCAGGGCGTGGGGCGCCAGGCTCGGGGCTCCGAGCCCGCGCACCCGGGCCCGGCGAGGCTCTCCATGCCGGGGGCCTCTGCCCTGCTGAGGGGCAAGGTGGGTCCGGGGCAGGCGCTGGGCAGGGGCCGAGGTAGGGACGGGCGGGGCCTCGGGCGGCAGCCGCCGCGCAATGCTGACGGGGATGGATGGGCGCCCCGCGGCTCATTCGGCCCGGAGATGAGAATCATTGATCACGGACGGAAACCCCATCACGTCTGTCAATAGGGCTGACAAACGGCGCCCGCCGCCCCTGTCCCAGCCCCACCGCACCTCTGCGGTTTCAGGACCCCTCGGCTAGACCTGCTGTTCACCTTTGCCCCTCGTCGCCACCACTGACCCCCAAGAGGCCTGGCGCGCCCCAGCATGGGGGCTGGGCAGGAAATCCCGCTCAGCGCCGTCCGCCCGGCCTCTTGGTGCAGTCTCTGTTCCTTCCGTCCCGCCGTCCCGTCTTTCACCATCAGCCTTTCTAGATCCTCATCCCCTTCCCTATCTCTGTCCTTGTCTCTGTCCCCAGCCCCAGCTTTCTGTCCCCATCCTCTTCTCTGTTTCTTCCTCGGTTTCCTCCTCCCCCAAGCCTCTCTCTCTCTCTCCTGCCCGGGAGGCTTCAGCTGTCAGCTGTTGCTATGCACTGAGGCTGTGGCTGAGGTTGTGGTATGACCAACACCTAGACAGTGAGAGGTAGGGACTAGCAAAGAGACCGGAGAGACAGATACATCCCTTGAGGGCCCACCCCAGGCATGCATGCAGATGCATTCACCGGGACCGGGAGCGAAATACAGAGAGAGGCGCACACCTGGCCGCACCCCCACACACTGAGGAGCACAGCAACAGAGGCGATCACACCTGCACCCAGACAAGCACACCCAGACAGCTGCTCAGATCGCTCGCCCTCTCCTTGTCTTGGCAGAGAGCAAACACCCACAGAGGTGGACACACACACACACAGACACACAGGTAGGTGTATGCTGTCACTGGCAGCCCAGAAGACAAGCAGGAACACATACAAAGAAACAGACAGACAGATATGGGATGTGACAGCCACACGCACAAGTCAGGGAAAGGACAGGGTGCTGAGAGAATGAGGCAGGCGCAGAGACACCCAGGGAGATAGGCAGAAGCCAGGAGGCAGGAACCTGGGTGCCGGGGTGGGGGCGGAGAGGAGAGAGGCAGGAAGGGGCAGGCGTGTCCAGGCTCAAGGCCAGAAGGCTGGAGCCAGAACCCTGAGCCCAGGTTCCAAGCATGGGTTCTGCTTCAGTAGTGGCTGGGACCAGTGGGCACAACCAGGCCTAGGCTGTCCAGGACAGAAGCCCATTACCAGGGTCCTGGTCTTCTGGGGCCCAACCCACCGCATCTCTCCTCCTTAAGCTTCAGTCTCAGGCCACCTGTTCTTTCTCCAGTTACACAAATACGAGTGCACACACAGGTGCACACTACTCGCCCTGTCTCTGGGTCTTTGCCTCTGTCCCTCTATCTTTCCACTTCTGGGCCTCTGTCCCTGGTTCTTCTCATCTCTCAGGTTGAGGTGAGGGCTTCCCACCTGCCTCCCTAGTGCGGAGTTAGAGGGACTGCCTCCTGGTGGACCCTCTTCTAGTGAATCCTGACGGGCAGGCGGAGAGGGGGCTGCTCACTGAGGGGTGTGCCTTCCAAGCTGCAGCGGGGGCCCTTGTCGATCTGCCCAGGATCTTGAGATGACAGAAAATCAGTGGCGGGGGGGAGGAGGGACAGATGCGTGGCTGGCAGAGGAGGGGCAGGGGTGGGGCTGGTGGTGGTGGGGAGCGGGCAGGTACTGTCAGGGAGGAGAGCCAGCTGGCAGAGGGTAAAGGGGTGTGGCAAAATAGCTGGAGGGAAGGAATGGAGAGAGGCTGAGCCGGTTCCCCTCACAAGTGCATGAGTGCTGAGGCAGGGGCGTGTGGGGCTTCAGGATAGGCAGTGCTGCAGGAGTACGGACACCACCTGGTGGCCAGATGGGGACACAGACTTCCCACTCGGCAACCAAGGATTCTGTTTCCATGCAGTTGCCCATCCAGGGCTCTTGAGAAGTCAGGGATCTCAGAGTTGGCTTGGAGGATAAGGTTGGAGAGGGCGTCTCAAGGCTAAGAGGCAAGGGGAGGGCTCTTGTTTCCACAGGTGCCTAGACTTGTAGCTTCCCCAAGGCAGAAGGAAGCCCAGGAGGAGTCTCCTGGAGTTGAACCAGTGAGGGAGGGGGAATGAAAGGCAGTGCTCCCCGTTGGGAGTTGGGTAAGGGGTTTCAGGCATTTGTGGCCACCCTGCCTGAGCTCATATTTGCTGTCCTGGGGCTCTAACCCTCTATCAGTCCGGGGCAGTGTAAAACTGTGCAACCAGGCTAGGTGCGGTGGCTCATGCCTGTAATCTCAGCATTCACTCACAAGGCGGGTGAATCATGACGTCAGGAGTTCAAGGCCAGCCTGACACGAACGTGGTGAAATACCGTCTCTACTAAAAATACAAAAATTAGTCAGGCATGGGGGCACATGCCTGTAATCCCAGCTACTCAGGAGGCTAAGGCAGAATTGCTTGAACCGGGGAGGCGGAAGTTGCAGTGAGTCGAGATCGAAACACTGCACTCCAGCCTGGTGACAGAGTAAGACTCCATCTCAAACAAAACAAACAAAAAGCTGTGCAACCTTCTGCAAGAAGTCACTCTAGGCAGGGGTTGAAATGGACCTGGATACCTTTGATTGAGTTTTTTCCTGTTACCCCCTGGAATGGCTAAAATGATTGGTGAGCTGGAGCTGCTAAGGGCCTGGCAAACTGGTCTTCCCAGCTCTCCTTCATCCCAGGAGACCCCTGGGCTCTGGAATGCAGCATTGTACTTCACATCTGATTCATTCGTCTCCACAAATGTCAGTGCTTCAAGAGCAAATGCAGGCAGAGAGAATCGCACGGGAGCACCCTGAAGGATAGGAAAGCCTTCTCAGCCTCAATGTAGTCACTTCTTATAGTGGAGCTTCTCACTGTGGGAGATCATTTTGGGTAGGGGGGTGGTGTCCAGTAGAGGTGAATGCAGAGAAACAGATCTAAGTTAGCATCCTAGAGCTAGAAGGAACACACGATCCAGAGACTCGAAGTCACAGCTGAAGGTCACACAGCCAGGAGAAGCAGATCTTCCTTGTCAAGTCCAGTGCCACCCGCTTCCCGGGCACAGCAAGATGGAGAGGGAAGGGCACTGAAAACTAGCTCGTCTGCCTCCAGCACGGAGCAGGTCTCCCTCTGGTGGCCAAAGCGGCAAGTGCAGCCCCAGCTCCCAGCGTCTCCCACACACAGGCAGACACCAGTGGCTTTTTTTTCTTTCTTTCTTTTTTTTTTTTGGCTTTTTTTTTACAATTTTATTTATAACAATATCTGTGTTATTTAGTTGTAAAGGAATTCAGCAAAAATTATTAAAACGTTCACGTCCCCAAAACGGGGCTGCCCACTTGCCCTTCCTCGGTGTGGCCCATCTCCTCGGCATCCCCAGGAGAGGGGAGGTTGGGGGAATGTTTACCAGAGGAAGTCTCCAGCCCTGGGAACCTCAGTGGGGGCCCTGGAGATGGGGAGGGCCTGTCTGAGAGGGGGACTGAGCATGGCCATCTCATAGGGGCCCCTGGAGTCGGGGCTGGGATTTGGGGTGGCCTTCCCCAAGAACTAAAACACTCCATCCTTTCCTGCCCACCTCAGCCAGAGCCACAGCTTCCAGACAGGGGCAGCAAAGAACTCTCCCTCCCCAGAATTAGCCCTCAGGGAGCTGTGGGAGCAGGTAAGCAGGAGTAGGGGAGAGCCTTTGCAAAGTGTCTTATACAGTGAGGGGTCAGCAGTCCCCGCTCTCCCAGTGGGGTGCGTTCTGGTGGGAGGGTGGAAGTGCAGCCCCAAGCCCTCCCTGCCTGCCTCCCTGAAGGCAGGATGGGGGTGTCGAGGAGCAGGCAGGGAGGGGATGGAGAGTTAATACTGTGCTCGCTTGCTGGCTTGCTCGCTCACATATAAAACGTAATTCCTTCATTTTTACATTTATACATCCAGCGGGGCCGGGGAGGGGCTTGCTGGGGAGGGGCTCGCTGAAGGACTTCTCTGGAGGGGGCAGGAGGCTCTCTGGGGGGAGTCCGACGGGGCAGGGCCCTATGCCAAGGGGTCCCCTATCTCGTCCTCAGGGCCCCGGCCCAGGAGTTCTCGCTTCTCATCCGTGCTGGCCAAGGAGTGGCGACTGCCGTGGCCGCCCATGTAGAGTGTGGCATACACGGGGTTGGTGAAGTTGGTGGGCTGCAGGGTGACAGGGTTCAGGTGGGGCTCAGCGGCTGGCCTGTGGCCCAAATCACCTCACCCCCTCCTCCGCCCCCTCACCTAACCCAACACCTTTGGTTAGGCCACCTACCGCCTCATGGCCCTCCACCCTGCCTGCCTCCCAGCCCACCTTGTCAGGGTCCAGGGCAAAGTCGGCATCCAGGAGGCCTCCCACGTCATCAGGCTCTCCGCCCTCATACATCTTGTAGGTGGGGTTCCCAATCTCCACGTTCATGGCCCCGTTGGTCATCCGCTGGTGTTGGAAGCCCTTAGCCCTGATGAGAGGTAGGAGGATAAGGAGACAGAGATTATTGGGGGTTGGCATTATTACAGGATGGCAACAATGGCCAGAACGTTCCAGATTGCCTGTGACTCACCCTTGGACTCGCCGCTTATACCAGAATACCACTCCGGCCACCAGAAGCAGCAGCAGCAGCAAC